TTTTTGTTTTCCGATGATCTTAGGCGACCCCTGTGAAAGGGTCGTTCGACCCCCAAGGGGTCGCGACCCACAGGTTGAGAACCGCTGTTCTAGAGGGTGAGGGTGTTCCACTGTACTTTTTACTGAGGAGGGGAGATAAGCCTTCCTAGTCCCATCTTTGCCTGGCTTCTTGTCAGTAATCTCTTATTTAGGGCAGATTAATATAAAAGAGAAATTGCAGGTGGGGCTACATGTAATGTCAAGAGCTTCATGGGTCAGTTAGTCAGGGTCCTGGCTTTAAGTAGAGAGCACTCTTAAATGGGGTATGAGGATAATGAAAGGAAGGGACAGTTTACAAGGGTGTGGACAAGATTAAGGGAAACCAGGAAAGGATGATAAAGGACCACAGCTCTGGAGTTATTATCACCCCAGGGCCTTAAGGGGCAGCTGTAGGATCAGACCACCTAACAGGAACTATGGCCTTTGGTAGAGAAGCAGCCATCTTGCCACAACTTGGGTAAGAGTGAGGGTAAGGGTCTCCTCTGCTGGCCCTCCTGCTTGTGCCTCCCACTGGACAACCCCAGGTTGACATAGGTCTGCGTTCTCATGATGAGAAGGTTGGGGGAGTGGATTCATAGTGGCAAAAAAATAAAATAAAAAAGATCTGGTACACCGGGGTTTTTGTTGTAGGAGATACTGTCTTCTAGTCGTCATCAGAGTGGAAGAACATCCTTCAAAGGTTCAAGGGTGCTTAAGGATGTGCTTTGCCACTAAGTATGACCCAGCGATATGAATAATAAACAGAGTTTCTTTGAACTGGGGACTCTTGCCTTGCCACGTCTTTATTCCCACACTCAGGTGCTTTACCTTGTATCATTAGCTTTTTATTTGACTAGAACATAGAGTCGCATATATTAGCAGCCTAGAGGAGGAAAGACAGGTCAGACATTTCGGCCATATTCACTGCCCATGCTTGAGGCAACACTGCACTGTGTTGGGGCTGAAGAGTGTCCTTAGGATGGGGCTGCCCAAAGGAAGCTAATTTTTATATTGTAACCTGATTTCCTTTCCCCTTCTTTTACTCCCATTCATTCTACCCCCACAAAAGTATTATTCTTACTTCACATTCAATAACAGTATGTGCAAATCTCAGAGAAGAAGGAATATGAGCTGAACATAAAGGCCAGCTGCCAAGTAGAATTGACATTTGATACATAGAGTTTTTTGAAGTAAAACAGCTTCTGGTTGAATAGTCAAATTAGTTAACACAACTCAACTCTGAAAGCCCCACTGTGATAAAGCAATGACATTTAACCAAGGCTGTAATTTAATTGTACTGTACCCGTTAGCAATAGCTCATTGATCTGTGAAAATATTTGCTGCTTGGTTTAATTAATTTATGGTGTTAGTGAGTTATTTGCGAAATGAATAACTCCATTTTCTAAATTTCAGGCTTGAGTGCATAATAAAACCCACTTTCCTTGGAAAAATAATCTTTTCAATGACATTGTTGGATGTTAGGCATTTCTGATTCCATTGAGTTTAAAAGTAGCTCAGTCCTGATGGAACCACCTGTTTTATATTTAAACTTCCGAAATACCACATATAATCCTAAACTACTTTGTAAAACAGTAATTCATTGCTTTTGGAAAGCCAAGCTGCAAATCAGTTTAATAATATTCTAACTCCTCAAAGTCCTCTTTAGGATTTATGACGGTTTTGATTTTGGAGCTGTCCAAATTAGGGACAAAATGAACCCAGAATATACATTAATGGTTTCCTCAGCTCCTCAAATGTGGAAATTACTTGGAAGATCAGCCTATTGTTTGGGTTAATTTGAAAAGATTTTCATAGAAGTTCCTTGAAATGAATATAGAGGAACATATAAAGGGTTATGTTCCTGGGTATAATCAGTGTATTAAATGTTAAAATAATAATGGAACTATTTCTAAGGATCCTTTTTTGCTAAATAATAATCTAGTAGGATTATGTAAAAATGAATTACCACTTATATAGCACTATATTGTGTACAACATACTTTTTCACATGTGTTATACCATTTGAGCCTTTCCATTGTACTGATTGAGAAACTGAGGCCCAGAAAAGTAAAATGATGTGCTCAAGATAATGTTGCTAGGGACTGGACACACAGGCTTCTACTCTTGGCCCCTAGCCCTTTTTTCTATACATTAAGCTACACCCTCTGATAAGCGGAGTTTTACAAAGGTGCAGAAAGGCAGTGCTTAGGATATTTTGAAGGTCCTGTGAATATCTGTAACATCCCAATGCTATTGTGAAATTTTTAATAAGTCACACATGTTTTAGCTTTCATATTAATATGCATTTTGTGTTCTTCTCTATTTCTTAATATTGTTTTCTTATTTTAATATACAAATACTGTTTTGAATGACTTACTTTCGATTAAAACTGCTTTGGAAAGAACTACCATGTTAATTTCAAGGCTTATAAATATCCCCAGCCTCTGCTACGTGCCTCTAGAGCATGGTTCTCAGTAGCAAAAAGGGGTGACATTGGGGACATTTGACAATGCCTGGAGACATTTTTTGATTTTCATGCCTTGGGGAGCGTTCCTGGCATCCAGTGAGTAGAGGCCAGGGATGCTGCTAAATATCCTACAATAACCAGAACAGCCCCCTATGATGAGTTATTCAGCCCAGAATATAAGTAGTACTGAGGAGGAGAAACCCCGTTCTGTGGGTATATGTGCTACATCTGAAGTCCCACAGGCTCACAGACGAAAGTACCAAAAGTACAGCATTCAAGGTCTAGCTAATGGTTGTCTCTGACTTTTCCAGCTTTATCTTTTACTGTACACTACAAGGACCCGTACTGGACTGCTGGGTCCACTCTGATCATGACTGTCATGACTCGTGCTTTCCTTCCCCCATGCCTGGCTCTTCCTGTGCCCTTCCCCAGTTTTTTGCTCTGTCTCCTTCCTTTCCCCCCCATCTCCTTATTGGTAATTTCCCGTTGAAATGCGTTACACCCGTCCTTCAGGTCCCAGCTCATTTGTCCTCTCCTAATCCTTCTGCAGCTTATCTGGGTACATTCATCTCTCTTGCTGGGTAGAGTATTTCTTTTGCTTAGGGCAGTGGTACTCGAAGTGTGGTCCCCAAACCCACAGCATCAGCATCACCGTTACCTGAGACGTGTTAGAAAGGGAAGCTCGGAGGCCCCACCACATGCCTCCAGAATTACAAATTCTAGGAGTTCAGCTCAGCAGTCTGCATTTTATTAGCCCTCCATGGGGCTTTGGTGGGTGTTAAAGTGAAGAACCACTCGTTTAGGGCATCTGTGTCTTGTTTAGAACACTTTTGAAGGCATTTTCTTGATGTTGAGTGAATGACATGTTAAATCATGAGCCAAAGAACTCAGTAACTATGCAGTTGAGAAATTCTGTTGCCCAAATATCATGAAAGGATCTAGACCAGCGGTTCTCAACCTTCCTAACACTGCGACCCCTTAATACAGTTTCTCATGTTGTGGTGACCCCCAACCATAAAATTATTTTCGTTGCTACTCTATAACTGTCATTTTGCTACTGTTATGAATCATAATGTAACTATCTTTTTGTTTTCCGATGGTCTTAGGCGACCCCTTTGAAAGGGTCATTCGACCCCCAAAGGAGCCGCGACCCACAGGTTGAGAACCGCTGTTCTAGACTTTTATACACACAAAACTGGGAAGAGACAGGAATGAATCAGAAAGAGCCAAATAAGAAAGCCTCTTTTCTTTAAGACAGTGATTGTATCATTAGTTGTAGTTATTTCTTGACCTTATTTGGACATTGTATTTGAAAAGCATGGATTTAGCTTTAGCATACCTATTTTTTGTTTAGATACTGAATGTTTCAAAATGCTGCAAATTAACTTTGCTTCTGGTGAGTGTAATTTATAAGATACCAGAATGTTTTAGCAGGGCCTGATAACTTTTCTAATGAGGTTTTCTGGGCTCCTTAGTCAAACGATGCTTCGGAACATGGGGAGAGCTAATGCTCTCCACATGGCTCTCAAAGCTTCCTATAAAGGGGTGAATAATGCCTTCTGTCAGCCCATGGAAATTGCCATTTGGAAATCATTGTGATTTAACACATAGACAATAAAGGAATTGAGATTTGTATGTTTCTCTGCTTTATTGACCTACAAATTATTCCGCCTTGCCTCTCCACTCCACAGGATTAGTGAGGAACTGAATTTGCTGGACATGGAAACTGTGTTAGGATAAGGTTTAGTTGTATCATGCCTGTCCTAAAACCTAGAGTGCACAGGCTGGCTGTATAACCCCGCCATAAAAGCCAATTGCTTGGTTCTGTAGTATTTATTTCTTGCAGGGTGACAGCCTTGTCTCTTTTATAAGTAGGTTTGGAGCGAGGAATAATAACCAGGACACTAATCAAAACCAGTGTCTATGGAGTCCTTTTTCTGTGCCAGGCACGCGAGTATGGACTTCACATGCATTATTTCATTTCATCCTTCACATCTTAGGTGCCGTCTAAAAGCTCCTACTGACCACATCAGAAAGTACTTTCCAAGGCTTCTTAGCTTTATGGTACCTTGAAAGATGTGAAAATGTCTCCTTTGTCTAGAGTCAGACTCCTTTGGGGAATAAATATTTCAGCATGATCTAATTAGTTGTACTCTTTCTTCATATTCGAGCTTTACTAGAGGGGGGTATTACTGGAGAAGTTCACTCCAAGCAAGACTTGAGAAGCTGAGGGGACAGCTGTGTTGCCCAGCTGGGCGTGCTCAGAGCACTCTGGTCCTGGTACAGCCACGAGCCTTCCTCTAGTCCAGTCTTGGAATCTCAGCTTTTCTTCCCTTTGTTTTGGTCTCCCCTGTTACACTGGGGTCATGGGTGGGGTGTTCTCACACGGCTGACTTTGGCAGAGTGGCATGTGAGCACTTTCTGGTTGAGACCACAAGCTCCTGGACAGATAGGAAATAGGTCACAAGGAGAAAGCAGCTTGGGTATGTGTCAGGTGACGTATTAGTTGTGTGAGGGCTGGATGACCTTCAAGATCTTTCCCAATTCTGAACTTCTGTAATGAGATGTAGGTTTTGAGGGAGGTCCTTTCAAGGGGACCTCTTTTGGAAGTTAACATTAAATACGTTGCCCGGTATTAGGATGTTATTCCCCAGTTTCATCAAAATCCTATGGTTTTAATAGAAACTTATAGAGGCAAGAGAGGGAAGATAAGGGGGAGAGAGAGAAAGATTGAGATTGAAAGAGGAGACTCGGGCCTAATGATGCTAAGGAATTAGGTGGCTCCTCTTTCTATTAATAGGTTATTGTTTGGTTTTTAAGAAATACCTGAGGAGCATCTCCTGTGTCATGCCCTTCATGGTCATTCCACAGTGTCTTTGCGCCAGTGACCACAGTAGCATTGGATTCTGACAGGTGCATCCCAGGAACTCCATTCCTCCTACTCCTAGTAGCGTTCAGCAGGGGCCTGTGAAGGGCGTGGGGCTGGTGGGAGGCGGGGAAGGCTATAGGCAATGGGGGGTTGCATTGTCTGTAGAGAATTTCAAAACAGGAATAAAATGAAAAGTTGGTCTGCTTTTTATTATCGCCATGCAAAGGCAAATCTGAACGTCAGTGACAAAATACTCCTCTTCACAGGGCGGGCCGTTCCCGCTGTGTTCCCCACACCCCCATTGCCACTGCATTTTGGTAAAGAGCGCCTTACTTAGCTCTTTCTGAACAGAAGGTATAGACCCTGCTCTCCACCGTGATACTCTGAGAAATCTAATAGCCTTTTCTTTCTTTTCCTCTTGCGTGTGTGTGTGTGTGTGTGTGTGTGTGTGTTTAGGCAAGGAAACAGTTACCGTTCTTCCAGGAGCCTCCTACTTCTCCAGCGATGAATCATTTGCGATGATTAGAGGGTATGTAATAACGGAGTCCCTCAGGTTTCACACGGTGCAGGACAGCTGAGTCATCCTCTGAGTGTGTTAGCAAGGCTCTGAAACAGAGCCTCGTCTCCCAGCCGGAAAATGATCTTGGGCTTGTTCGGTGGCACCAAGATGTGAAATTACTCACGTCAAATGTTGGGAATTGGAACATGCATCCTGCTATTATTAAAAGAGCCCTCAAAAAGGAATACATATCTGTGTGCCAACTATACTGAAGTAAACATTTTTGAAAGGTTATTTCTGAGGATCCCAACATTTTCTATAAACTGTGTGTTCATTTTCTAGCCAATGTTTGCCTTCAAATCAAGCCACATTCTCCCTCACGGAAGGAAACAAACTCACTGTGTACACCTGTTTTTAATTTGTTTTTGGAGAAAATATAGGCTATAATTTTTTTAAAACAGCCCTTAACGGTTATTTCTTTACATCAGCTTGAGCTGACATATTTGGAAATCAGGTGTTGGGTGGGAGAAAGCAAGTGTATTTTGGAAAATATAGAATTATTGTAATTGTTGGCAATCTCGAGCAAATGAGACATAAAGCTTGTGAAGTTTGCGTTATATTCCCTCTCTTCCTTTCTCAGGGGACATGTCAATCTGACAATGCTAGGAGCAATGCAGGTTTCCAAATATGGTGACCTGGCCAACTGGATGATACCTGTAAGTAGACATTTTTTTCTTTTGAAGTATGCTTGTCTCAGAATAATTATTTCTGAAATATGAAGAAAAATCTTGTCAAATTGCTATGGGAGTACAATGTAATTTTTAAAATATAAATATTTTAAAGTGTTTTTCTTATTTGAATCAAATTTTAATTAAGCAGACACTGAGAAATTTCAGCTTTGCCAGTTTGCTATGTAGTTGGGACTAAAAATAGGCAAGATCAGGGCCAAAGCAGAATTTTCCATGAAGAAACAGAGGTAGGGAAGATTAAAAAAAACTGGTTTAGAGGCCTGACTACCGCACTTTATATCTGAAGCTGACGTTGAATAATATTGTATGTCAATTATAATTATATATACATATAGTCACGGGACATGGAGTAGAGTGTGGGAATGGAGTCAATGGAATTGTAATAGATAAGGATGATATTGGGGGTGGGAGGGCAGTGGATGGGGGGGTTGTCACTTTGTGAAGGGTGAAAAGGATAACTAGTGCATTGTTTTGTACACCTGAAACTAATAATAATAAAAATAAATAAATAAATAAATAAATTTAAAAAATGGTTTAATTATACTTGGGTAAAATAAATAAATACAAATACTTATAATAACTAAGTTTTTATAACTAGAAAGAATAGTGAATAAGTTTATTAATTTTATGTTAATTCCATTATTTTCTTATTTACAGTGATTAAAATCTTCTCTTGATCAATCATGTGACCCTATAAATAATCAACCACATTGTTTTTTCTTATGGAAAACAAAACCTGTGATGTTTAAACATGTTTGCAAAATGCAGTTTTCATTTACTAATGGCCTAAATCAGGGAAGAAATCTGTCAGAATTAGCTTTGGAGAAAAAGACTGTAATCAGTTAATTTATGAGCGTGGTTCATTATTTCCCGGTTGTTGCTTGCTGATATGTGTATGGAAACAACAGTGAATGCATGTTTGTGATCACGAGCTCATTTTGGCTGGTAGCTCAGGTGACTATAATGTGTATATTTAAGGATTTCTGTGCGTTTCTCTGTAGCACCAGCTTAAAAAAAAATATTTTAGTAACTGAGGCTCATGGTCCATGATTTAAGAAGGTTTTTTTTTGAAATCTCTTAGATTTTTCTCTAATAATTTTTTGAGGAAAGTGGATTAATATAGTTGATCATAATGTTAGAGATTTTGTTAGTTTAACTCTTTTGATCTAATACTTCCTGAAATACTATTTTGAAGTTTCAATAATTATTAAAGCCCTGGTACTCAAACTTGGTTGCATATTGGAATCACCTGGGAGTTCTAAAAAACACCGATGCCTGGATCCCACCCCCAGAGTTTCCAGTTTAATTAATGCGGGATGTAGCCTGGGCACTGGGCATTTTAAAAGCAACTGTGGTGATTACAATGTATAACCAGGTTTGAGAACCAATGCATTAAGGAATGATCATAATTCATATTTAAAAATGTGAGGGAAAAATATGTTTGACCCATTAATAGTAAGAGCCCTTAGCAAATTATTGATTATATTGTTACTTTTATTTAAAAATGCTCATCTTTCTATACCAGCCATAGTCGTAAGAGTTGGCAGGTTTTGGAGGCATCAGAGAATCATATAGGTTTCCTAAGTATCATACAGTGAGTCAGATTGATAGTTTATGGACGCACTTATTTTTGTCAGAAATCAGAATGTATTTCTGTTTTTAAATTTTAGAAAAAGGCCATGTGGGTAGTAGAAGGAGCATAAAAAAGTATACCTTGGGTTTTAGCCTTGACTCTACCAGAAATCAAGGTGTGACCTTGAACATGTCACTTAAGCTCTTTGGGTTAAAGAATTCTCATCTATAAACTGAGGGTTTGAGACTAGATAATTTCAGGGGTCTCATCTCACTCTCATAGCTTAGTGGTTAAGAGCAAGGACCCTGTAGTGAGACAGATCTGCATTAAAATTCTATTTTTGCCACTTGCTAGCAGTGTAACTTGAAGCAGTTGCCTACGTTTCTTCATCTATAAAATGGGAATGATATACTAGTACCTACTTTATATGACTATATAAAGAAATAAATGATATAATGCATCCAAAGTATATATCACAGAGTTTGAATATAATACATGCTAAATAAGTGGGTTGTTATTATTTGGTATGTTTAGAGGAAGGAGTTGGGGATACCTGGCAAAGAAGGGACTAGCATTGGTTACTGTGAACAGAAGCAATAGAGTTTTGTGTTTTTTTTTTTAAGATTTTTTTTATTGGGGAATTGGGGGGATGGGAACATGGGAACAGCGCTGGGGAATTGGGGGAAGGGGAACAGACAAGTTGCTGTCGTCTTGTTCTTCAGTCTAGTTGTGGAGGACGTCGCTTCACTGGCTCAAGTTGGCACCATCATTGCGCTCTTCCCGGGTGAGGCAGATCAGTCGCCGGCTTCTGGATGGCCGCTCTCTGCGGCTGCTGGCCGCTCACGCTGGCTGCTGGCCACACACGGCAGCCCATGGCAACCCACTGCCACAGGGGCTGCAGCCTATGCCGACGTCGGCGACTCACGGCAGCCCAGCTCCAGGTTGAGCTGTTGTTCAGCATCCTAGCTGTAGAGGGCCTCATACATGGGATCCGAACCAGGGCCCTCTGGTGTCCCAAGCCAGTTCCCAACCATCGTGCCACTCGGCCGGCCCAATAGAGTTTTAAATATATCTAGTTTGTTGGACTGTTAATGAGTTTTGAAATCAATTTTCACAGTGGTCCTAGGTATGGAGCAGAAACATATTTAATACATTTTTGCCTTCAGGGAACTTGGACATCTTGGAAAAGTCACTATACAATTTGTTTATGGTTTAGCACCCAGTGAGGCTGGAAGCTCTCATAGTGACAGTATGCATTACGTAGTTGTCACTTGTAGGAAAGGTTTTCCAATGTGTATCCCATTTTTACATATCCTGTTGAGATTCCTGTGAATAATTAAAGCATCAGTGTTTATTACTTATAATTTTCTTGGTTCAAATTGGTGCTCATGAGTTTCCAAAGAACTGGAACTAGTTGGACAGCAATGGGGAACTCTGGAGTTCTGAAGAAACATGGAGAAAAATTAAGCATAAAAAGTGCTCTTGTGTCTTGTCCTGCTCTTTTGCTAATGCAAGTTGGTAGTGTCATTTCTGAGGAGCATTTCTTTTGTTTTTTTAGTAACTGATAATAACTCTTTGGCTTCTATATATGTGATGTACAGTGTATATATTTAATTCTTTTGGGCGTAAGATAGCTTAAGAGCCAAGACCATGACCTTTAGTCTGGAAGAAATCTGATGTGAATTTCAGCTCTCGTCCTTACAAATTATACAATCTGGAGTACATTTTTTGTTGGGTTAAGTGAGAGGGAAATGAAAAGCAAACACTAAAAGTATTCCATAAATAATGGCTATTATTTTCATCTTCAGTGTTCTATTGCTTAACATTAAAGAGGGGATATTTACCTTAAAACACATTGACATAAACAACACTGTATTGTATAGTAACTAGTACAACCTACTTATCCTAAATTCATATTTCAAGTACAAAACATTAAACTCTTTGCGGATGGATTTCTTGCTCTTATTGGCTGTGGATAAGGTGCAGTCTCGCCTCCTTATATAGTTCCAGTGAGCATTCTCTTTCTATTTGTCCCAAAGATTTATGTTGACTTATAAAATTCAGATATATTTTTATTGCAAGATCTGGCAGTCAAGAAGCTGAAAAGTTCAGATTTATCATATCATTTGTCATTTACTTTTATCTTTTTACTGAGTTTAATAATCTTTCAGTGGTTGTAAAGCCTTGAGTTTCTCTGTGTCATGGCATCCCCATTAATCATTACAGTGTCAGATTATAATAAACATTAAGTTTTAAGGCAGGCAAATGGTGTGGATGTTGTTTGTCTTATTCTTTAATAGCGTCTTAGTATGCAGCATTGGCCCCACATAGAAAGATTTTTAAAAATTCTGCTCTGAGCATCTGAAGAGAGAAAATGTAACAAAACAGTACTTGGCTCCTTTGCATTTCCTGATTATCATGATGGTAGTAAAACCCCAGGCAAGCAACAAAAATGTCAGAAAAGATGCAAAATCTACATTCAGAACGGGTCTGGCTTTCCTAGTGCCTATTTTTGAAAAACAGCTGCCATGGATGATTGACTTGTGAAGGGAAACAGATGTGTATGATCAGCTAGCTACAGGAGCTGGCTATGGAAAGCATGTGACAGCGGCACGCTGGACAGGCCTCCTGTGTGCGAGCCACACAGCCAAGGACCCGCACCTTCCCCTTGAGGAGAACTGAAAGGAGGGATTCCTATCGCAGGATGGGATTTTTGGTGTTTGTTTTTCCCCTCACATTTTTCATTTCTTTGTGCATTTTCAAAGAGTAAATACAGGGGCCGGCCGAGTGGCGCATTGGTTAAGAGCTGGCTTGGGACGCCAGAGGGCCCCGGTTCAGATCCCACATATGAGGGCCAGTGACACTGCCCTCTACAGCTAAGATGCTGAACAACAGCTCAACCTGGAGCTGGGCTGCCGTGAGTCTCCAGCAACGGGTAGTCTGCAGCCCCTGTGGCAGTGGGTTGCCATGGGCTACCGTATATAGCCAGCAGCCAGCGTGAGCAGCCAGCAGCCGCTGTGAGCAGCCGTCCAGAAGCTGGCGACTGATCTGCCTCGCCCGGGAAGAGTGCAATGATGGTGCCAACTTGGGCCAGTGAAGCAACGTCCTCCACAACTAGACTGAAGAACAAAACAACAGCAACTTGTCTATTCCCCTTCCCCCAATTCCTCAGCACTGTTCCCATCCCCCAATTCCCCAATAAAAATCTTTAAAAATAAATAAATAAATAAATAAATAAAAGAGTAAATACAAATTAATGCCATACTCATATATGATACATGCATGAGTGCACAAAATTGGTTTGGTCTTCTAGACGTCTATTTTTATTTATTTTTAAGATTTTATTGGGGAATTGGGAAAGGGGAACAACCAAGTTGTTGTCCTTCAGTGGAGG